CTTGGTGCAGATGGTATAGCTGTTAGGTTGGCATATTGCCACCCACTTTGTTTGAAATCTAGCATTTTCTCCTACTTGCAATTGGAGTGACTGTCATTCTTTCGATAGTATTTCTTCTGTGTTGGTATCCTGATAAACCCAGGGCCAGCGCAACCCATTAGGCGACCTAGGCGGTCGCCTAGGGCACTACAATTTGGGGGGCGGCGACCGCGGCGGTATTTTGTTGGCGGGACCTTCCGCCACCTCTGTGGGGGGCGGCATTTCGGGGCAGGACCTTCCGTCGCCTAGGGCGGCAGAAAAGCTGGTGGCGCTCCTGGGTAAACCAGGACCTTTTAATATCTAAATCAGGGTTAACGATCTTTGTTGGATGTTGGCACTAAGGTTTTGTCCTAGTGCCCATGGATCTCTGAACCAGTGATTCTAATAAGGTGTTGTTACGTGTGATATATATATATAGCTAGAAGTTCTTTGCTATTTGTATGCACTTGAGCTGGTCAGAAATTGTTCAATGAAATCGAATTCTGATGGAAAACGCTGTTTCATCAAAACCACAGTGTTTTGTGAAACCAGGTCAGATGCAACAACAACTTTGTCAGAGACAAATATTGCAGCCCAGCAGTTACGGCACTGGCCTGGGAAATGGGAGGCCCAGGTTCAAGCAGAACTGAGCAGAGACTTGAATTTGGGTCTCCTGTGTTCTAGCCCAAACCAGACCAGAGTGTCACTTGTATCAAAATGAAATTTTTTTTAGAAACTTTGAAATGTTTCACTAATAAGAATCGTCACTTTCAAGCCAGTCCTATGATTGACGTTTCTACTGACCCATCCCACAGTATGTTTGGTGCTGTAAATGATACTAAACAAAAAAAGACTGACTTGGAGAGCTGACAGTCTAGAAACACTCAACACCATATTTTTTTTTAAAAAAAGCAAAACCAACATCAGAAAATTCTCTTGGTATAGAAATTTCAGAGCCAGGAGAAAACATTGCAGTGAGAACTTCAAAGGATGATGCCTGACATTGATAAGGGGGGGAGGGGAAGACTAGTAAGCTAGCTTTGTGGAATGTTTTGTTCTGGTTCGTTTGTTTGTTTGCTTCTTTTTGGGGGGGGTCTTCCTATTCTAGGAGGTATTAAGATAATGAAAATAAACTCTATAAAAACCAGTAGCCCAGTACAGGCAGTCCTCACCCATTTCCTTCAAGGCTATGGAGAAAAATTTCTGGAGAAAATTGAATGTACACCAAATTCAAAACTTTCTCTCCAGCTCAATGAAAATTCATTTCAAGCTGGGTTTGGTGCTAGTCCTGCTCCCCCAGCATTTACAGATCAAAATGTTTCTAGGGTTCTTACTGACAAAACAGTATTCTTCAGTTTCTAACGTGTGTCTTTTTATCCTGTAAAAAATAAGTGAATTAAGTTAATTGCTAACCAGACTTCAAACGAAATTTCTGTAAATCAGTGAAGGAGAGGAATAGTAGACCATATTCTATGTAAGGACAACTCCATTCTGGTTATTTTCCCCCCCCCCCCGCCCCCCTCAGTTCCCATAATCTATTGCAATGCTTCTGTACGGAGACAAAAAGGCATAATCCATACAACACTATCTCATTTATCTCAACCTCACCTATTGGAAGCTCATTGTTTGAAAAGTTCCTGATGTTAGTGTTTGTGATATGACACTTATCAGCTTAGTGATATTCGGTAATGGAGCTGGTTGACTTTCCTGGTGGCTGGCTGACTCAGCAGGACACGAAGATGCTTCTGGCTAAAAAGCTCAATAGCACAGAATGGCAAAAACACTTTCGCTCACAGTTGCAGAACTGGCTAGCCTCTCTGAGGATACTGGCCAACAGGCTTTGAAGTCTCTGCTCAGGGTCACAAACTTCAAATTCTTCTAAGCCTGATTATCTGAAACCCCAGTTACTTTGGGTGTCCCCTGAGATCTCTGGTTGATTGAAGTTTATAGCATAATATCATACATTTATATGGTGCTTTGGAGGATCCTATGAGATAAAATTTGCCCGGAGCTTTATGTGCTGCACTTAAATGAAGGGAGGTTGGCAGCCACGTGGATAGCACTTTGCACAGCGAAGGGGAAAGTTTGGCACAGGACACCAGGTTAAACCGCTAGAACATAAGAATGGCCATACTGGGTCAGACCAAAAGTCCATCTAGCCCAGTATCCTGTCTTCTGACAAAGGCCAATACCAGGTGCCCCAGAGAAAATGAACAGAACAGGTAATCATCAAGTGATCCATGCCCTGTTGCCCATTCCCAGCTTCTGGCAAACAGAGGCTAGGGACACATCCCTGCCCATCCTGGCTAATAGCCATTGATGGACCTATCCTCCATGAATTTATCTAGTTCTTTTTTGAACCCTGTTATAGTCTTGGCCTTCACAACATCCTCTGGAAAAGAGTTCCACAGGTTGACTGTGTCTTGTGTGAAGAAATACTTGCTTTTTATTTGTTTTTGTTTTTTTGGTTTAAACCTGCTGCCTATTAATTTCATTTGGTAACCCCTAGTTCTTGTGTTATGAGAAGGAGTAAATATCACTTCCTTATTTACTTTCTCAACACCAGTCATGATTTTATAGACCTCTATAATATCCCCCCCTTAGTCATCTCTTTTCCAAGCTGAAAAGTCCCAGTCTTGCTAATCTCTTCTCATATGGAAGCTGTTCCATACCCCTAATTATTTTTGTTGCCCTTTTCTGAACCTTTTCCGATTCCAATATATCTTTTTTGAGATGGGGTGACCACATCTGCACGCGGTATTCAAGATGTGGGCATACCATGGATTTATATAGAGGCAATATGATATTTTCTATCTTATTGTCTATCCCTTTCTTAATGATGCCCAACATTCTGTTAGCTTTTTTGACTGCCACTGTACATTGAGAGGATGTTTTCAGAGAACTATCCATAATGATTCCAAGATCTTTTTCTTGAGTGGTAACAGCTAATTTAGACCCCATCATTTTATATGTATAGTTGGGATTATGTTTTCCAATGTGCATTACTTTGCATTTATCAACATTGAATTTCAGCTGCCATTTTGTTGCCCAGTCACCAAGTTTTGAGAGATCCTTTTGTAACTCTTTGCAGTCTGCCGGGGACTTAACTATGTTGACTAGTTTTGTATCATCTGCAAATTTTGCCACCTCACTGCTTACCCCTTTTTCCAGATCATTTATGAATATGTTGAATAGGACTGGTCCCAGTGCAGACCCCTGGGGGACACCACTGTTTACCTCTCTCTCTTCTGAAAACTGACCATTTATTCCTTCCCTTTGTTTCCTATCTTTTACCCTGTTACCAATCTATGAGAGGACCTTGCCTCTTATCCCATGACAGCTTACTTTGCTTAAGAGCCTTTGGTGAGGGACCTTGTCAAAGGCTTTCTGAAAAGCTAACTAACTATATCCACTGGATCCCCCTCGTCCACATGCTTGTTGACCCCCTCAAAGAATTCTAGTAGATTGGTGAGGCATGATTTCCCTTTGCAAAAATCATGTTAATTCTTCCCCAACAAAATATGTTCATCTATGTGTCTGACAATTTTGTTCTTTACTATAGTTTCAACCAGTTTGCCCAATACTGAAGTCAGGCTTACTGGCCTGTAATTGCCGGGATCACCTCTGGAGCCCTTTTTAAAAATTGGCTTCACATTAGCTATTCTCCAGTCATTTGGTACAGAAGCTGATTTAAATGATAGGTTACAGACTACGGTTAGTAGTTCTGCAATTTCACATTTGAGTTCCTTCAGAACTCTTGGGTGAATACCATCTGGTCCTGGTGACTTCTTACTGTTTAGTTTATAAATTTGTTCCTAAACCTCCTCTAATGACACCTCAACCTGGGACAGTTCCTCAGATTTGTCATCTAAAAAGAATGGCTCAGGTTTGGGAATCTCTCTCACATCCTCAGCCGTGAAGACCGATGAAAATAATTCATTTAGTTTCTCCACAATGGCCTTATCGTCCTTGAGTGTTCCTTTAGCATCTCAATCGTCCAGTGGCCCCACTGGTTGTTTAGCAGACTTCCTGCTTCTAATGTACTTAAAACATTTTTGTTCTTTAATGTAATATATATAAATAATTTTTTTAAAAAGACCTTTTATGTCTATGTACAGCAGACCAGGAATCATGTCTTTTGAGGTCTCCTCCAAAAGACTTCACACTATAACTTCATAGTGCTCCATTTATCCTCTTCAGAAGGATGAAGAACTAGGGGGCACAAATAGGATTGTATCCATAAAGTTAACTTGTTCTGTTGTAGTGTATTGCAGGCAGTGATTTGAGGTTTGGTGCGTGATAACATACCTACCATTATCAGTTCTTTCTGTTTGAATCAGACAATTAGAATTCATGGATTACACAAATCGGCTATTTTAGTACAGAGCTAAAATATGATCTCTTAGCAGCATGAAGAGCTTTGGAGGAGTGACAGAAGGTATTGTTGCCCCTTCTGACACCAGTGTCTTCCCAACCCCACCCCCACCCCCCGCTGGGTGAAGCAGAATTCTGGGACCTTTATGGCTACTTGTAGTGACAGTGTAAGACAATGATATGCCAACAAGCTGTGAAACAGTTACTGTAGCCCATAAATATTCTGCCATTGTATGTCTTATATCACAAGTTTTATGGCATTGATTTCCTAATCCATGATTTAGAATCATTTGGTGTATTAATTTTGTCTTGTTAGGTCAAAGGATTCAAACGAGACAATGGACTGGGGAACATTGCAGGCCATTTTAGGAGGTGTAAACAAACACTCCACCAGTATCGGAAAGATCTGGCTCACCATCATGTTCATTTTCCGTGTTATGATCCTTGTGGTGGCTGCGGAGGAAGTCTGGGGAGACGAACAAAATGATTTTGTCTGCAACACTCTGCAACCGGGATGCAAAAATGTTTGCTACGACCACTTCTTCCCCATCTCTCACATTAGACTGTGGGCCCTTCAGCTCATCTTTGTCTCGACTCCTGCACTTCTGGTGGCCATGCATGTTGCGTACAGAAGGCACGAGAAGAAAAAGCAGTTCAGAAAGGGAGGGCAAACCTGTGAATTTAAAGACATTGAAGAAATAAAATCACAAAGATTTCATATTCAGGGTCCCTTGTGGTGGACCTACACCAGCAGCATATTCTTCAGACTGATCTTTGAAGCCCTCTTTATGTATGCGTTTTACTTCATGTACAATGGCTTCCGAATGCCACGCCTAGTGAAGTGCAACGCATGGCCTTGCCCCAACACAGTGGACTGTTTTGTTTCTCGACCCACTGAAAAGACAGTGTTTACTATTTTCATGATTGCTGTGTCTGGTATTTGCATTTTGTTAAATGTGGCTGAATTCTGCTATCTGCTGATAAAAGTTTTCCTCAAAAAGTCTCGAATAGCACCATCTCCAAGACATCACCCCAACCATGAGACTAAAGAGGAAACTAAACAAAATGAAATGAATGAACTAATATCTGATAGCTGTCACAACACAGTCTCAGGATTTCCAAGCAGCTAAGGTGATGCAAATGTGAGGAGTGACTCGGTGTGGAGTGAATATTCCTCTTACAAAACTGCAAATGAAATCAGCTACATTAAACAATAAAGTGGGGTGAAGGTTTAATATGTAATGTCAGGTGGGAATTAAATACCTAGCTCAAAAGAGTCAAAGCAGCATAAAAATGTGAACAGTATATAAGGATTAAATAGGAAACTGTCTCCATAAGAATATCCTTAACAAGGCAACTATGACAAGCGGAAACTCACTAGTACCTCCGGGCTAGAGTCACAGAAGGGAGTTAGGCAACACCTAGGGACCCTGCTGCCAGTGCAATTCACAGTGCATAGGGAGAGTTAGGTGATCAAGAAGAGGATTCTCAGGCTAGGTCCACACTACCCGCCTGATTCGGCGGGTAGAGATCGATCTTCTGGGATCGATTTATCGCGTCTCATCTGGACGCAATAAATCGATCCCAGAAGCGCTCCCCCGTCGACTGCGGAACTCCTGCTCGCCGAGAGGAGGAAGCGCTGTCGACAGGGGAGCTTGCCTGCACCGCATGGACCCGCAGTAAGTAAACTTAATTCGATCTAGGAAATGTCGACTTCAGCTACGCTATTCTCGTAGCTGAAGTTGCGTTTCCTAGATCAATCCCCCTCCCCAGTGTGGACCAAGCCTCAGAAGCCTGAATGCTGAGCGGGGAGCTGCCTAAGCTAGTCAGATGTGAAATGCAGAGGAAAAGGGCAGGGCTTAGGTGCCTAAGCACCTTTGAGGATTTGGACCCTACCTCCATTTGGGATTCTTGGCCCTGAACCCTCTCCTGGAGTTAGGTGCCTAAGCCAGGTCAGACCTTTTTCATCATGAGCGCAAGACAGAACCCATTATAGCCAATTGCCCAGCAGGGTTAAGGCACTCACCTGGGACATGGGAGACCTGTTTTTTTTTTTTTTTAAATCCCTGCTCTGCCTGAAGTCCCCTGAAAGGTGGGAGACCTGATCAGGTAAACATCCTCACCAGTGGGCTGTAGAATCAATCTCTCATGGGCCTACTGATTATTTATACGAAAGGGACCTGTTTCAAGAACAGAGACTGAGGCCTGGTGTACACTAAAAAGTTATGTTGACCCAGCTATGTCGCTCAGGGGTATGAAAAATCCACATAGTTAAGCTGACTTAATCCTGGTGTAGATAGCGCTAGGTCAACGGAAGAATACTATCGCCTGTCAAAGAGGTGAATTAACTACAGTGACGGGAGATCCCCTCCTATTGCATTAGTGTCTACACTGACAGCGCTACGGAAGGTGGCCATTTGTTGTACTTTGAAGATGAAAAGTGTTCTATGAAACTGAAGTGTTAACAAGAATAGTAATCTTGTTGGGAGAAGCGAATACCTTGTAGACGGCGACTCATCCCCAAATACCCAATAGCCTGGTGGCTAGGGCATTCTTACTGGACATGGGAGAGCTGGGTTTCTGTCCCTGTTCCAAATCACTGCTCCACACTGATTTAAAAACCAGGCGAGTGCCCTAACCACTGGTCTATTGGGTATTTGGAGGGGTGCACACTTGCCAGTCAGGCCCCAGAATTCCTGACTGACTCTTGTGCAGGTTAGACGTATTCTGGGCGTGCTAACCAAATTGGTCTCTGGAGAGATGGGCAGGGAAACACCTAGTTTGAGAATTCTGCTATGCCTTAGGTGTAAGGTAGGGCTCCAAGCAGCTCATTAGCTGTGAGGTGGAGTCAGGTGGATATCTAGGCATCTTCAGGGTTAAGCAGTAGCTGAATGGTGCTTTTGTGATTGGTCATAAGCACCTAAAGAGGCAGTAAAGCACCTGTGTCCCTTTGTGAAGCTAGCCCTTTATGCATATTTGAGTCCTGAAAACAATACATTTAACAGCAATAAGAACAAACTTTTTCCAGGCAAGATATTCTAGTATTACAAGATGTTTTTACTTACCTTAGTTATGAATTCACAAGTATTTTTGTAAGGTCTGAAATTCCATGTTATTTAGAGTGTGATAGTGTATGATTGAGTAGTGTGGGTTTTTTTTTTTGTTTTTACCAGAAAAGCAGATGTAACCTCCAATTACTAAAATGGTAAGTATATAAACTTTAAACATTTAGCAGACCTGCTGTAAATAATTCCATTAACATTTTACATTGCATACTGCCAATGTTATAAAATCATAGCTATTATGAAAATAACCTTTATCTTCTGTTCGTTTCTCAAATGAATTGTTTCTTGTACTGTAGATAGTCATGGAACCATTTTGGTTTTTTTAAATTGTAGACTGAAAATGACAAAATGGTATGAAACTAGGAGCTATCTGGATGGAATTAGCATAAAGAAAAGTCTCAGCTAGTATAAAGAAAAAGAATCTTAACGAGGTCTTCTGAATAAAAATCAAACACTGTAACCTTGTGCAATGGAGTGAAAGTTTATATGTGAGTGTTTTGCCGATGACCTATAGCACTTGGTGAACCTTGATTTTTACACGCTGAGAGTTATTTCACTTGCCCTGCTTTCAAATACTTCAGTTAAACTTAAAAACAATACAAACCCTACAGCCAAATTCTGTCTGTCTGGTGGAAATTCCTCTGTTGTGCATACACCGACATGTTAAACAAAAAAGCTCCGTTGGCCGGGAATGGTGAACCGCGGCCACTGGGACAGGGCAGGCTCCAGGCACCAGCTTACCAAGCAGGTGCTTGGGGCGGCCACTTCGGAGAGGGGCGACACGCCCAGCTGTTCCGCGGCAATTCGGCGGACGGTCCCTTACTCCTGCTCTGAGCGAAGGACCTCCTGCCGAATTGCCGCCGCAGATCGCGATCGCGGCTTTTTTTTGTTTGTTTGTTTGTTTGTTTGTTTGGCTGCTTGGGGCGGCCAAAACCCTGGAGCCGGCCCTGCACTGGGAGCTGCGGGCAGCCGTGCCTGCAGACAGTCAATGTAAACAAACTGTCTCACGGCCTGCCAGTGGATTATCCTGACGGGCCGCATGTGGCCCGTGGGCTGCAGGTTGCCCACCACTGACCCAGGAGCTATTTCCTGGTTAGGGGTTATACAAGCAAAAAACACATGGCCCGTATCCACTACCATTCTAGCTTCACCACAGAATACCCCTTTCCAGCCCCTGTCACAGAGAGCTGGCAGAATGGCTTCTACCTGGGTTAGAGGGGAGCCAGGATTATAGCAGCATATTTCTAGCCTGTTAACTCCCAGGTATGTACATGCCATATGGTGGAGCACCTCGCCAGAGTCTAGCTATAATGGTGATCACCATGCACTTCGGAGAGCAGTGCAGTGCTCAGGGTGAGGGCAGGCAAAGCAGAGGACACATTGCATGAAACCCATTGACCTCACTAGTTACTGCTCTCTTACACTAGCATAAATGACTATACGGTTGGCTCCCATGGGTTTATTATGGTGATCCTCCTTAAGATGACCGAAGAGGGTCACTAAAGAAAGCAATTTAAAGTGTGTTTTGTGGGGGACTTTTTTTTCTTTTCTTTAAATCACTAGGAACAGAGGGTGCTCCCACTGAATGATCCTGATCTTAGATCCCTAACTCTCATCCTCTATTCTACTGGGAGAATCAACTGATTGTTGTTGATATTGCAGAACTCTGGTAGAAGAAAACTGCTGTTAATTTCTAAGCTTGTCTGCAGGCAACTGGGGTAAAAGCAAGACAGTAAATTACAGAGGCCTGAATTGCTCCCTCAACCCACTGAAAATACCTACACAAGGAGGATCTGCTTGTGGATGTCTTTCTGGAATTATTCCTAATCTCTTTAGCTGTGGTTCATTAACCCACTAGTACACTGTGCGTAGGCTGAAGGGCATAGGGAACAATGTTGTGACAGTGCATGAATATCCCTGCCTTAGTAGGAATGATAAGACCATAGCCTATTAAGTGGAGAAATATTTCTCCTATGGATGAAAGAACATAGCCCCAGATCACTGAGAGAGTTCAGACAGCACCATGTACAACAAGCTTGGATGGGGATGCTTTTGCAGCAGAGTGATATTCCTCAGTGCAATCCTTTCTATGGGCTTTCATCTATGAATCACATACCACTAAGGTCAGTTAGACACTATCAGAAATAATCATTAACCATCTTCAGTAATCTACTTGAAATAACCTTAAGTTAAGCCTCTCTCCAGAATGAGTCAAAGTCTCTTCCTTACACTACGCTTTCCTTAAATAGGACATTGTTAGTTCATATTTGCATCAAAGTGCAAACCAAGGTGCAAAAATTGGATGTGGCAATAACTCTGCAGGTGGGTTTGGGGGTTTTGTTTTTGATGTACACTCAGCTTCTAATATTTATAAATGGCAGTTTTATTCTAGCTTTCCAGCAGAATTCAGAGTAGCTTTACATCCTGTGCTGCTGTTCTTGCTGTGTCATTATTTTAAGCCTAGGTAAGTGGACACGAGAGTGAGCAGTATGCCAGAATGACCTAAAACTGCAACAGGTGACAGAAATAGAAGTGGAGTCCCTATATAAGCCGCGTTCTATTCAGGCTCGTATCCCACACACGTTACTTTGGTATCCAAGGCCAGAAGCTAATGTACTTATAACCAGCTCCTGTCTAGTCTGTATTCAGGCTTCTTATAAATAAAGAGGCAAATTCTCTTTTAAGTTACACTGGTGCAAATTCATTGACTTTAACAGAGTTGCTCAGTTGTCACTGAGAAGAGAATTTGTCTCTGAAGTTGTGAATGATGTAATGATTGAACTGCACACCACAGACCCGTAAATATATGAAACAGGTTCACATCCCCTGACTCCTGTTAATTACACAGAAACAAATCTTATCTAAATTGACCCTCATCCATTATATTAAGCTTCACTCAGACCTACACAGAAATTGGAATTTCATCTGAAACCTGTCTGGTTTCCTGCCAGCATGCTCACTCAGCAGCCAGCCTGGTGGGGAGCTAACAGCCTGGCAGCTCTGGCTCCCAAATCTAAGGTACTCATATGGCCCCTAGCATTGTAGTATCTGAGCCCCTCAGAATCTTTAATGGATTTATCCTCACAATACTCCTGTGAGATAGAGAAGTACTATTGGCAGCTCCATTTTACAGATGGGAACTGAGTCAAAATGCTATGCCAAGATCACAGGAAGTCTAGCAAAGCAGGGAATTGAACCCAGCTCTCCCATGTATTGCCTAGGGTATTGCCCTGCTTATGGACCCACCTTCCTCTGCATCTTGGTTGGTAGGCTAATAGGGAAGTGGGTTGTGCTGGCTCCCAAGCTCCCTGCCTTGCATCGCCTGGACTTCCAGGGCCCACAACTTCAGGGCAGACTGCCCATGTCAGGATCCTTTTTCTTTCAGAAAGAATTTTGAAGTTTTTGGTTTTCATTCCAAAT